TTTTGAGCTTGTGGAAGCAACAGTCCTTTTTCTCTAAGGAGTTACCAGCAGGAGGAGAGTGCAAGAAGGGAGAGAGGCAGTTGAAAATTCACCCACTGACTTCAGCAACAACACCAGGTAAGGTCTTTCCAAAAACTTTGTCTTCTATGAGCATTTCCATCAAATAACTAACAGCATAATCCAAACAACCCCCACACTGGCCAGTGTGCTCTGGAAGAGGGAAGAGGCACAGATGCTGGATGATGTATGGCCAAGGGAGCTCTGTTATAGGCATATGAGTATTTTGGTTTGTAGCAGAGGTGGCTATAAGATGATAACGAAAACACCATGTCCCCAATATGAACTGCTCATCTACTGACATTGATCCAGAGTTTTAGCAAAGAGCACTAAATAGGAGAATACACATTACCCTCATCTTTAGAGAGGGGCTGAAGTTTTTCTAGGATGAAGCACAAATTCCAGCCCTCTCACTTAGACACTACTGTGGGATTGCTACCTTCTGTCTCTTTCCTCCCTCTCCTCAGACATTTTCCTCTGCCTAGCATTAAAAAAAGAAGGGAAAGATGACCCTTATAGATACTTTAAACATATGCTTACCTTTGTATTAACCACATTTAATATTACAAAGATCCTGCAAAGCTTTATGTATGTAGCATCATTCTTCCTCTCTCTTTCTAATCAACTATTAAAAATAATTATGAAGTCTATGTTAATAGTGCACTGATTATAAACTTGCAATTCATTCAGAAATGCCATCAGAACAGTCTATGATTCTTATTGAAAATAAACTTCTTGGGCCATCCTCGCCATTGTTACAATGTCTGAGCCCATTGTGGCAGTCATTGTGTCAATCAATTTTGTGGAGGCTTTTCCTCTTTTTTGCTGACACTCTACTTTACCAAGCATGATATACTTCTCTAGAGATTGGATCCTCCTGATAACATGTCCAATATATGTAAAACAAAACCTCACCATCCTCAATTCCAATGAACATTCGGCTGTATTTCTAGCAAGATAGGTTTGTTCTTTCTTTTGGTTGTTGTTGTTAGGTTCCATTGAGTTGGTACCAACTCATAGTGACCCTATGCACAACAGAATGAAACACTGTCTGGTCCTAGGAAAACCTCACTACTGTTGCCATGCTTGAGTCCACTTTGCCAATCCATCTCACTGGGGTCTTCCTCTTTTTCTCTAACCCTCCACCTTACAAAACATGATATTCTTCTCCAGTGACTCGTCCCGTCTGACAACATGTCTGAAGTATGAAAGACAAAGTTTAGACATCCTGGCCTCCAAGGAGCACTCTGGCTGCACTTATTCCAACATAGATCTGTTGGTTCTTTTGGCAGCCAATGGCACTTTCAATATTCTCCTCCAACACCATAACTAAAAAGCATCAATTATTCTACTGTCCAGCATTTGCATGTATATGAAGTTATTGAAAATAACATGGCTTAGGTCAGGAGCACCTTAGTCCTCAAACTGACATCCTTGCTCTACAACTCTTAAAAAAAGTCTTGTGCAGCAGATTTGCCTAATGCAATATGTTGTTTGATTTCTTGACTGCTGCTTCCATGAATGTTGGTTGTAGATCCAAGAAGATTGAAGTCCTTGACAACTTCAATCTTTTTCATTCTTTTGGTAGTCCTGGTATATTCAATATTCTTTGTCAGTACTGTAATTCAAAGGCATCAATTCTTCTTTGGTCTACTTTATTCATTATCCAGTTTTTCTGTGCATATGAGGTAATTAATAATACTATTGTGTGGATCAGACTCACTTTAGTCCCCAAATGACATTTTTCCTTTTCAGCTTTTTAAAGAGTTCATTTACAGCAGAATTGCCCAATGTTATATATCATCTGATTTCTTGACTGTTATTTAAATTGGTGTTGATTGTTGCTCCAAGAAAAGTGAAATTCTTGACAATTTCAATGTTTTTTCTGTTTATCATGATATTGATTGTTGGTATAGTTATGAAACTTTTTGTTTTATGTTTAGGTATAATTCATACTGAGGACTGTAGTCTTTGTGCTTCATGAATAATTGTATTTAGTCCTTCATTTCAAGCAAAGTTGTATCATCTGCATATCATAAGTTGTTAGTTAGTCTTCCTCTAATTCTGACACTGTTTTCATTTTTATATAATCCAGGTTCTCTGATCATTTACTCAGCATACAGATTGAATAATTATGATGAAAGTATGTAACCCTGACACACAGTCTTTTTGGTTTTAAACCACTCAGTATTCCCTTGTTCTGTTTGAATGACGACTATTGGTCTATATACAAGTTGTTGTTTTTTTTAACAGTTTTCTTCAGCTTCACTCTGAGCCTGCAAGTGATGGTCTATTCCATAAAAGGGACATTAACTTTTTTAGACTGATGACACTGAACTTCTCCATTGTCTTTTTCCACAGATGTAGCCATTTTGATTTCTATGTATTCATCTGCTAAAGCCCCTGTGTATAGTCACAATGTATGTTGTTGAAAAAAGGCATTTTCAATGAATTGTTGTTGTTTTTGCAAAATTCTGTCATGTGATCTCCAGCATTGTTTCTATCTCAAAGGCCATATTTCCCAAACGCTAATCCCTCTTTGTTTCTAACTTTCACGTCTCAAGCACCAGTAATTATCAATGCATATATATTACATATTTGATAATTTTAGACTTCAGATGCTAGCAGAAATCTTCAATTTCTTCGTCTTGACTAGTAGTTGATGAGTAAATTTGAATAATAATCATATAATTAGTTTTTCTCATTGTTGTTGTTGTGATGTGCCATCAAGTCAATTCTGCCCCATAGTGACCCTGTATCTGAGGAGAGACTGGTGAGATTGAACCTCTGGCCTTATGGTTCAAAGCAACTTTGCAGTCTGGCACATTAATCCACAGACAGCATTGTACTTTAAGCTAGGTCTTGAAATATTTTTTTCTGATGATGAATGTGTTGCAATTTCTCTTCAATTTGTCAATTCTGGTATAAAATTTTTAAAAAGCATATTACTTTTCAATTAAAAATGGCCAATACCAATCCATTTCAGCTTGCTACTGCCTAGGATATCAGTCTTTATATGTTTCATTTCATTTTTTGATGACTTCCAATTTTACTTGGTTTATAGTTCATGCAATCTGTGTTCTAATTAATAACTGATGTTTGCAACTGCTTATTCCTATTTTGATTCATGCCACATAAGCAAATGAAGGTCCTGAGAGCTTACTCTATCCACATCATTAAGGTCTACTCTATTTTGAGGAGGTAACTCTTCCTCAATCATATTTTGAAATAGCTAATAAATCATATACTTTGCTTCATTACCATGATTATAATCCCCCCATGTACCGTCAGTTAACAGTATTTCTCTCTATTCATTTTAGTATTTTTTTTTTTATGATCTCTGTTTCTTATTGTCAGAAACTAGAAACTCTCCACTGATTTTGATGAAAACAAACAGCGGTCACACCCAGATATGGGAACTCTGTTAAATATGGACAGAGTTTCAAACATCTTAACTATTGATTCTCTCCCTTGTCAGCCTATAAACAAGAAATATTCTTTTCTTCCATTCAAATAAGCTACTTCCTGGACCAATATATTTGTCTATACATCACACAGAACTTTCCTTTCCTTTTAAGAGAGAACTATATTTTTTACTCTCCTTCCTCCTTTTACAACCACTTCTCCATATAATCTACCTCCTGCTCTTACCAGGTCATTATATCTACTTTTATCAAGGTCAGGGATCATTTCCATTTGTCTCTTTCTCAGGGAGACTTTCTTTGTTACCACATATACAAACACTATTGCAAACTCCCTATTCTAATCCTTGCTTTTTTTTCCTCAAAACCACTTACATACATACATACATACATACATGGGTATTTGCTTGTATGCACCACTGACTCTTTTACACTTACACCATGACAATGAAAACTGTCATGGTGTAGAGTGTGAAGGAGTCGGTTCTGTATTATAGTGACCCTATATAGAATTTCCAAGGACCTACTGTGGATTTGAACTGCTGACCTTTCAGTTCAAACTGACCTTATAG